TATAGATAGTAATGCACTTAATTTTTATTTAATTAAATAATGCACCAAAGAATATAGACTAATAACATGAAAAATGTAGACAAATTCACTTACCTCTCAACATTTTCCTGGTTTTCTAACTATGTGACAGGAGCCGTTACAAATTCATCCAAGCTAGTCGTTAACTTTCCCACGGGAACGATGTTGCTACTCAGAGTAAAATTGACGGTTATCTCTTCAGATCACAATATTATACAATATGCCATTTGATAGACGAAAACCTCGACTTTCTATTAGTTATAGGCAATATATAATTTAATGTAAGAGATAACTATCAACAAATTGTGAAAGAGAGGATGTTTTACAGGTGGGTGTGGCAGGAGTGGTCTGATTTTCAATTCGATAGCTCTGTAACCAAACAAAATTGAATAACGATTTTATAGAGAGTAATTTACGTTTAATTTCGTACATTTTTGAGGGGTGATGGATAAAATAGGAATGATGACATGCTACGACAAAACTTGTCACGTGGGTCACACTAGTGGAAATTCAGGATTTTTTAAAAATATTCCCTTGTAGAATTAAGAACTTAAAACTTGTATACTATTAAAATATGGTTTATTTGCTAAGATTTTATGCTATTCTAATTGGTATAACATAAACAATATTTTGAATACAAGACACTAAAACCTGGTGTCATGTGCAGTAAAGGATACCCGGGGTGATAGGATTAAATAAAGCCATTTGTTATCAGATTCCATGAATAGTGATACTCAAAATGATATATATCTGCCTCTAAGAAAAACTGTCGTAGCTAAACACTAAACAACTGGCTGAGGGAAAAGATAGTTACACAGGTTTATAAAGTTACACTGTGCCCTGTTGACCAATTTATTCAATAGTGTCAATGATTTAACTACCTGACTTTACCTTGGCTAAGATACTACAGAAACTGTCAAATGACAGCTAACAACTAGGCCAAAAAATATTTCTCTCAGATGCAAACAGAAAAGCATGGCTTCATTGGTGCTTAGAGCACAAAATTTGAATAAAGAATAACTGATGTGTGAGTGATGTATTCTTATGAGAAGGGTTCTGTCATTTTTTTGTACTGACAGAGGAGTCAAAACGTGAAGAAAACCACATGAAGAGCTTCAACCTGCTTGTGTGAGTGATGTATTCTTATGAGAAGGGTTCTGTCATTTTTTTGTACTCACAGTAGAGTCTAAACGTGAAGAACACCACACGAAGAACTTCAACCTGCTTATGCTATTCTGTTGGAGGTAGAATATAAGCATGCAGAACATTCATGGAACGGGTACTTTGATCCTTTTTAGAAAAGAAATTAACATCCAAAGTGCCTGATCATATCAAACCATGTTACTGGATTTCTATCCCAACAAATACAAGCTTTTTACTATAACAGTGCAATAATTCACCATGTTCATATTGCCCAAATTTTATTCAAAGAACATGACAGTAACTTCAGTCATTATCCTTTGCCATTAGAATCACCGCATCTCAGTCTGTTAAGCAACTGAGAATTAATTACAGACCATGCTACAATCAAACATGACACCTTCCAAAATTTTGTGGTGTTTACTCACATGAAGTTCACATAATTATTTTGGTTAAAAGTGGTCCACACTGATAGTAGGTGGGTTTCTTGATAAAGTAGCCTGTCAATGTATTTTCTAAGATATGAGTAGAAGTGTAGAGAAATCATGTAAGTACACAGTGATATATATTTAAAAACAATTATTATAGGCTATAAGATTGAAAGAAATACAAACCATGTAAGCCTGCAAAGTGAGAATCCCCAAGTATAGCTGCTATCCATAATTCCTGAGAATCTACATCAGCTCCAACAAAGTGATAACCAGGGGGAGCCTGTATCATAGCTTTTAGTTCACTGCCAACTCTGTCAGTCTGCATGTGATATAGTAATAAAGACATTCTAATGTACTACAGAATTTATAAATTAACTGGTAAAAAGTGCATAAAAGATAGCAAAAATGCAAACTTTAAAAATCTTAATCATTTAAGAAAATACACTTTTGTTAAAGGTTTAGATGAATTAAATATTACCTTACCATTTAATGTAAAATATGGAAGAGATAATAAAATGTCACTTGAAATTATACACCACAGGTGCATCACTAAAATGGATTGATACAGTTCGTTTTTAGTGCTTTTTGATAATCAGATCAAAAACAAGTACTTTTTTTAAGCTGTTTAGCCTTACTAACTACATGAAATATCATATCAGTTATCCTAAAATAAGTTACTCAATTTCTTTTGATTAAGTGTGTTACACACAGACACACATACAAATATTCTGTTTACTTACTGGGGCTACAGTTGCATGTGCATGCTCAAAATGTTTATACAAAACTCACTTAAAGCCCTTTCTGGAGCAGTAAATGACAGAGATATAGTGGTATAGACATGTTAATAAAGGTATTTCCTATCCTTAAATAAGGCTGTATTATTCTGTAGCAACTGGTTTCAGAGATATGCTGATACAAGTACTTATATCACTACTGGATACACCTATTATCAGCAGATAACATATCATGAGCCTTTTATAAGTAAAATAATAGTGTATTATACTGGTTATTGTTACAAAATTTGGTAATGTAATCAGAATTTTTCATTTTCTCAGAGAAATTTTCTCACTGAAGAAGATATACATTATTCATCTTGTATTTAAAAGTAGTAGTCTTTTCAACAATTATAGCAACAAAAGCAATACTTATACTTAATCAATCTTATGCTTATCCTCTACTAATATACACAGAGCTGTGATTAAAAACATCACTGTCTTATTAGAACACACAAAGTTTATGTCTTGTTAAGAAGTACAGCATCTAATGTGATATACTTTTTAACTCTCTCAACACGGGCTCAGTCTATTTAACCGACCACATGACCTCTTTAAACTCATTCAAAGTCTTTATAGATTTTATACTACTAATTTTTAATACAGTATGTATATCTTCATGATATTTGGCAGTCTTTCAGTAAACATATTTGTTTTGAATAGTCTGTGTGCACAAAATTTGAAAATTAACTGGTAATTGAAAAATTTTAGATGTTCAATTAAATTTATAACAAGTAAAAAGTGCATCAAAGATAGCAAAAATGCAAACTTTAAAATTTTTTAATCATTTAAGAAAATACGCTCTTGTTAAAGGTACAAGTTTTATGTCAAGATTAAAAATATTTTTACTTCTATCT